GTGCGGTGCAGTGTGGTGATAGTGATGGTGGTGTTGCAAAAATGATGGTGGTGGCTAGTGGTGGCGATGGCAATGGTAGTTGTGATGATCTAGTGCTTGTGGCTTTGTTGGTGGCGGTGTTGTGGTGGCAGCGGTGTGATTGTGTCTGTGACCAATTATTTGATTGATTTGTGATCAAATATTGGTGGTGGATCGGAATCTGGGATGGGGTGTTTTAGTGTATGTGACCAATTATTTGGTTCATTGCGACTAACTATTAAAATGTGATCTTAAAATTCGACAATTTGTGACAAAGAAATAACGCGTGACCTAAAAAATTGTTCATATGTGACCGATAATTTGACAGTGTGACTGTCTAATAAATTATGACGTATAATTTTTTTGAATTGTGACCGTAAGATAATTTGTAACATATAAAATTTATGATTATGTACATGTAACCATTAATTGTATAATTGTGAATTTATTATATTTAAATAATAATTATATTTAATTAATTAACTAAATGCCTGAGTTTTGTATTTTTTTAAACTTAATGCCCGATTTTTACAATTGTGAAACTTAATGCCTGATTTGTGAGTTCTTCCCTTTTTGAAAAATAGGCTCAAACCCAATCTAAAGAGTTCAATTGAAAATCAATTACAAAAGAGGAAATTACACCCACACAGCTTTTTAACTTACAATTTTCAAAAATATAGAATCAACTTTAATAATACAAAAATCAGGTTTTAATTAATAATTCAAAAACATTTTTTTATTTTTTATATAATTATATCTAATCAAACCCTAAACCAAAATCCACTCTCTCACCGTCTCTCACCTATTTACCCACTCTCTCACAGTCTCTCCAATCTCTCCACAAATGCTTGCCGCCTCCACCGTTCGCCACCTCCACCTCTCCTGGCCCACTGCCGGAGACCTGGCCTGTAGAAATCTGATGGTGGCCGCAACGAGCTTCGATTCACCTCTCCTGGCCACGACGAGCTTCGAGCCGCGACTACTGCGAAGTCGTCGCAGTGTTGATTTGAGTGCCGACAGATGGTGGAGCGTCGATTTGAGTGCCGACAGGTGTGGGTGGAGGTACTGTGTGTGTAGGGCGGCGATGTGCAGTTGCGTGCGTGCGGCGGATTTGTGAGTGTGTGGCGATCTCTGTGTGTGGGGGCTGTGGTGGGTGGATCTATCTGTATGTGTCATGGCAGGTGACGAACATCGGCGGTTTGGGTTCAGTTTTCTGTGGCTGGTTAGTTTGTGTGTTGTTGGTGTGTGTTCGTGGGTGTTGTGGCAGTTGCGATTGGGCGTGTGTGAGGGCGCTGTGGTGGTGGAGGTGTGGATTACAGTTACGGTGCGTAACGATGTGTTGGGACGGTGGTAATAGTGCGGTTGGGTGTCAGTGCGTGAGGTGGCGGTGCGATGGTTGTGTGTTGTGGTTGTGTTGCCAGTGTTCTACGTTGTTTTGGCGGTGCGTGTGGTGGTGGTGGTGATAGTGGTGCTGGAAGGGTGTGATGTTGGCTTTGAGACGTTGATGCTGCTATGGTGACCAATTATTTGATAAATTGTGACTTACATATAATTTATGTTCAATTGATGTGA